TGCAAAGGACTGGCAAACACGGGGGGAGGACTCGCGCAGCCAGGCAGAACAGACTGTGAATCTTTTCTAAATGCAGAGTGACACAGACCTAGTCTCCATCTGACCACGAGTATTTTGTTGGTCATCTGACAGACCAGTTTCTGCTGTAAGAAGGATTGGATCAGACTAGACCTTTAGCATATGCCTGTCTATTCATCACTTGCTCTCTGGGCTTCTGTAGACGTCCTCCTCCAAGTCTACTCCATCCTGTGTGATGTCTCTCTTGGAAAAAATTTCTACTGTTCTGCTGCTGAAGAAAATAAGGAAAGAGCAAGAGATGATACTGCTTCCATCTTGGTTTCTGATGTATTTTTCTTTACCTTAAAATTAAACCTTTGGATTTTTGTTTCCTTAGATTCAGAGCCCCAGGCACTCACCTCAGTTGTGTGGCAGCCACCTCCGTGTTGTCCACCAGGTCAGTGCCGCGAGTCTCAGGCAGCAGGATGCAGAGCAGGCCCCCAACCACGGGGGCACTCCCGAAGATAGCCATGGGGATGGCCTGATGGTACTGGCCCAGGAGGCCGATCAGTGGGGCCAAGATCCCCGCTGCCCGTGCCGACATCGAGCAGAGCCCCACACCGGTCTGCCTGGAGAAGCGAGGGGCAGTGGGAGGTGCAGGCAGCGCTCAGCAACCCCTGGGCCACCGAGGGACTGAGTGCAGCCATGGGGACAGTCAGACTCTTGCCCCAGCACTCCCCCCAGCCGTAGTAGAGGGAAGCCCCAGTGTGTGGGGAGACCTCACCTGACGACTGTGGGGAAGAGCTCTGCGGCGTAGACGTAGGAGGTGGAGAAGGAGGCCGTGGCTGTAAACTTGCCAGTGATGGCCAGGACAGTGGTTGCCACGGGCTGGTCTGAGGGGAGGAGGAGACACCACTGCTGTGACCTCCATGGAGAAAGTTCATTTGGGACCAAATGTCGCTGCAGTGTGATTTCTCTGGACAGCCCTTTCTAATGGACTTACCAAGCGAATCTACCACCTAACGCACTGGAAATAATTCCCAGTGCACCCTTTCCTGAAAAAAATCCTTGGGACAACTGGCAAAGAGAACTCAGATTTATCCTGAGGCCTTGGGCATTTCCTAAATCTGCTACTGGAATGAGCCACTGAGCCATTGTAGAACTTTGAGGAGTGCTCAGTTGGAAATACCATGTCCATGAGCTTGAAAAAAATTTTGCAGCCCCTCTCTTGCCTTCAGACTTACTCACAATGCTGGCATAGCATCAGGGGTGAGGGTACGGACTGTAGCAATGAGTAGGTAGAAACAGATAAAGTGAGGGACAGACATTTGCTTTACATCTAATGAAGGGATACATGGTGGCTTTTAAAAGGCCTCTTCTGCTACACCTTTCTGAGAGGAGGTGATGGTGTATTGCAGGTGGAGGTGATGTGCATAGCGGGCGGAGGTAGTGGTGTATAATGGGTGGAGGTGGTGGTAAGTAATGGGCACTGCCCGCCAAGGGCCAGGAGCTGTTGAAGGACCAGGCACAGCTCTGAAGGAGAACAAAGTCATGAAGCAAGGAAGCCAGCACGCTGGGAGCGCGGCCCCTTGATCTGCGGCACTCGTGGCAGCTCAGACCCTGAGAGCAAGTGTAGGTCTGCTGCCACCCTGGCTGGGAAGATGGGTCTAAACCAGGACAGAGCTGGATGGGGCTCTACCCAGCTGTGCTTTTGGGTTGGGAAGAGGTTGTTCACCTTCAGGGATGCCAGTGATGATGAGACACATTAGGCCAGACAGCAGCAAGAGGACGGCTTGGGTTTTCTTCCTCCCGAACCACTGCAGCAGGAAAATGCAGCAAAATCGAGCTGGTAACTCCACTGCTCCAAACGCAAGCTGTGTCAGGTAGATGTCCAGTCCAAAATTTGTCACGTTCAGACTCAGCCCATAGTAGACAAGGCTGTCCGCAAACCTGAAATTCAAGTAAAGTGGAATAGAACTTGCAACGAGCTGGGTTTTCCAGGGGTTTGCCCTCAAAAATTATGGTGATTTGACCACAAGCACCTCATTTGAACTCCCAGTAGTCTCTGTTTTGCTTCTGGTCACTTCCTGTGACAATTCTGTGGGATGTAGTTACATGAGACAAAGCAGTATGGATCCTCATATGCTCAGCAATGTTTAGACTGCACACAGAACGTCTATGGGGGCACAAACTCACTCCAGGGCACAGGGATTACCAAAAGATGGGATTACTGCAGCCTTCCTCACATATCCCACAGCATATTGAACAATCAGCTTCTCCCCATGCCCAGACAAGGTAGATCTGGTACAGTATACAAAGACCGAAAGATGGCAGATGAACACACAGACAGAAGCAGGACCACAGAAATTGTATGAAATCAATTTATGGTTTTCGTCAACACTTAACCCCTTCTTTTCTTCACCTAGAAGTTTGGAAAGAGGAGACCGGGGTATGTCTTACCAGGAGCACAACAAGATTAAAGTCACCTTCCGGAGGTGCTTCTTCCGAAAGAGATCCAGAGTACTTCCAGGCTTGCTCTGTGTCTCAGGCTTCAACTTCAAAATGCAGAAAGACAGAGTCAAACCAGGCAAAGGAAGCCCATGGCTAGCTCCTTTTGCAGCTGCAGTCAAAGGAAAGCCTCAGCAGGACAGGCTTGTGACCCCAGCTGCTCTGGGAGGGAGGGCAGCCCAGTGGGACAGGTCTCCTGCACCCGTGCTCTCCTTGCCCACCACAGCACTTTGGACTAGTAGTAGGGACTCTGGGGTGGGCATGTCCTTTGGGCATTTATGCATGGAAAATCACAGACTAAACAGAGACTTCGTGCTCATCCTGAACTTTCCTAACAGAAGAAAAGCCAGGAAAGCATCTGAGTCATTTCCGTATCCCAAGGTGGACTCCAGAAAGCTCTAGGCTGAGCCGCAGCACAAGCTGTGCCTCTTCCCTGACCTTGTCTCTGTGTGACGCAGCTGAAGCTGGAGTCACACACCCACTGCCCATCCCCAAATCATCCCCAGTGAGCACGGAAAGGTGTTTATATCAGATGACCTCAGCTCCAGTGGCTGCTACAAACCAAAGCCCAGTGGAAAGTCTCTGAAGACAACAAGCAGTTGCCTATGCCATTACAGGTACCTGCTCAAGGAGTGCTGGTGGGATGGTGTGCTTGTTGATGGATGCTACCTTCTGAAGGACCTTCTTAGCTTCTTCTATTCTGCCTTTTGTCACCAGCCACCGAGCTGATTCTGGTAGGACCCTGCCAAGGAGGTGAAATGGGGAGATGCTGCTGTGACCATCTCAATTTCCCCACAGCCCAGCTCCCCTGTGACCATGTCCAGCAAGCAATGAGCATCACATGTGGTGGAAGGGTCTAAATAGCTCCCCAGGTCAGGTTTTCTATGCCTACATTTAGGCCCTAAGGGCCACATTTGAGGACCTGGTAAAGCATCTGCTGCTCTCAGAGGTCCAGTGCTCCAAGGAGGTGGGCTGAGCTCTGCAGAAGCTCCTCCAGCATCTGCACTCTAATGGCAAAGACCCAGCCTTCTCCTGAGCTGCTGCCTCCTCACTGCCACCCCTCACACTTGCTTCTGTGGTGGCTGCAAGGAGCTCTGCCCCGTTCCTGCTTACCAGATGTAGAAGAAAAGGGCACACGCTGGAGCTGATCCTGCAATCTGCAGCAGCCTCCAGTTGCGGATACCATAACTCAAGCCAGCCAAAAGCATCTGCCCGAAGGCAACAAAGCAGTGAGAAATAAGCACAGCTGTTGGCCGGAAGGAGACACCAACCCATTCGGTAGCTGAAAAGAAGAGTGAAGGTTCAAAGTCATCCTTTTCAAAATATACGGGACTATCTTGTATGTCCCTTTTTCTGTTGCATCTTATGAGGCCATATCTGTCTGCCTCAGGGCAAGGACATTCTACTTACCTAAGGCCAAGGCAGTAATCAGAATTCCTGACCCTGCAGCCCCCACGACACATTTGAAGGCTATGTACACATAGAAATGGGGCACAAAGGCAATTCCTACACCAAACAGACACTGGAGGAGGGTGGAGATCAGAAAGATCGGCCGACGGCCTACCCTGTGGAAGAAGAGAGATGACACAATTGGTATCTGAAGAGAGCCAACGGAGAGGTGGCAGAGCCCCGGTGGACTACTCACGCCAGAGGAGATATGACACCTACGTGAACAAAACTCTTCTACACATCCCAGGAAGTAACTGTCAGGAATAGCAACATCTCCACTTTTGACCTGTCACAGTTTTAGCAAAAGCAAAAGGAGATTCTGCTAAAGGAACTAGCCCTTGAAGGGCCTCCATGTCCCCTCTCTTGAAAGCAGTGATGATCAGACTGAAGTGGCCTGTAGTGCTGGTTCCCCCGTGAGGCACCCTGTACACATGCTGTCCCCTATGTGGCTGTGTCCTCTAGGGAGCTGAGGACTTTGGTCCAGGTCACCAGGAGCTGAGAAGAGCCACAGGAAGGAGGTGCACATGCTCTGCTTAACACAGCTGAAAGTGGGCCCAACTCTACACAAATGTAAAGTTCTGGGATTCCTGGATACACCCTTGACCTGCTGAGACACCAGCTGGGGCTGGACCCGTGACTCCTGAAGGACATTCCCCAGAAGTTGTATCTAGTTCCCTCTCTTTTCAACTCTCAGATATCTATAGACCTGAGACCAGGTGGACCCTGATGCTCTTGCTCAGGCAAGAGGATTAAGTCCTGTAGAGGGAGTATTTCATGCTCAGTGTATGGACATTCTGAACTCTCATCTAGGCTGTCCGTGGGTGCCAGACAATAACTCTGGGAAGCTGGCTGTATCTCCTCACCTGTCACTCAGTGGCCCAAAGATCATGGCTCCTAGGAGAAGCCCCGCCATGAAGATAGACTGGGAGATGTCATTCAGGTCCTTCCTGTCGCACACCAGGTCAAACTGGAGGAGGGAAACACAACTGCTTTTGCTCTCGAAAGACCCCGGCTACTTTCTGTGGGTGGGCAGCCCTTCTGCTCCATGGTGGACCCAGGAGTTGGGAGCCCAAGCTGCTTCTGCAGCCCCTGGGAGCAGACAACCCACCCCCAAGGACGAGCCTCCATGGTGCACACACAGGACACAAGTCAGAGGTAGGACAGGTGTATGAGGTGCTCAGCCTGACTCTTCATCATGATGCAGGTCCCGAGTGCTGGGACCTGCAGGACTCCCCTCCAGCCCAGGCATCCCCAAAGAAGCCTCCTGGCTGACAGGTTTTCCTTCAAGTGGGACCTTGGGATAAGAGTCCCAGCAGCTTGCTGCTCTTGCTACAAAGGCAGGACAGGGTGGAATGAGGAGGAGGGTAGGAAAGCAGTGTTTTCTCTGATAAAGGAGGGCTGGAGTAGGAGTGGGAAGGAATGCAGCAGCTGCTGCGGAGGAGCCTCTAGAGAAGCTGGCTATGAAATGGATGCAGTACTCCAGGGACCCCAAGGAGCCTTTGCAAATGCCAGAGGCCAGACTCTCTCCTCTGGTTTCAGCTCAGAGGAAAGTACTTGCAAGAAAGTGCTGGAGCTGGGAGTGAGGAAAGGAGGGAGGGAGGAAGGAAGAAGGGAGGAACGAGGGAAGACGAGAGAGGAACGGAGGTCCAGAGAGGGAGAAGTTGGGGTGCTGACAGACAGAGCCTTTGCTCAACTGCCTGGCTCGTGGAATGTCTTCTTGCAGCCCTGAAGGTCTCTGGAGGTCCCAGAAATATCAAAGACAAGCCCTTTGAAAGTAAATGTCTTTCACAGACAAGGTGATGTGAGGAGTACCAGGCTATAGAATAAGGAAAACTGTGGCGGAGAGACCCAAAAGGTCCCTCCAGGCAAGCTACATCATGGGTTCGAGGGCCTGGACACCAGGAACGGGAGGGATGTGGGCAGAACATGTGCAGGACTCACACCCCACCATCTCTGCCTGTGTCCCCCTTCAGCATCTACATCACGGTCTTCCTGCAACAACCTCCTAAGGGTTACAGCTGTCATCTGTGTGATGGAGCCAAGGTCCCCAATGCCTGGTATAAATCGCAGCCTGACTGCACCACAGCTGGCATTGGTTTACCAAACTGCAGGACAGGATATGCCTATCCCTTCCCTTCTGCGTCCCCGGCACGTCAAAAGGCGATTACAGACCTCGGTCAGCAGGGACGGCGGTGGTGCTGAGGGGTACACCCAGCCACTGCGGCACTTCTCCGTGGCATTCAGGCCGTATGCCACGATGGAGCTGAGGTTCCAGTCCACCGGCGAGTACATGGAGCACTGCTCGTACGCCCCGTCCGCGTCCCGGGGCAGGGTGAGGTTCAGCTGCTCTTCCTCGGTCAGGTTGGGGCCGACGGCAAGGATCCAGCTGGTGTTGCAGTAATGAGGCACATCCACCACCATGAACACTTGACCAATCATTTGGAAAGGACCAAGAAGTAGAGGGAGGGAGAGGAACAGTACTAGCAATTTCTGATACAGCCCAAACTCCCCCAAAGCGCTTATAAAATCTCCAAACTCAGTCATGGTGACTACCTCTATGGCCAGGCTGTGCTAAGGCACATTGCTTAAATAGCCAAAAAATTAATATTTAAACTATGTGAGCAGTAAATCGATAATCAAGTGTGATAAAACGAGCACTTGTACCAGCATGTTTCTCCTTTATGATGATATACTGTAGTCCTCTGGGGTGCACTTTGTCACCTGCCATTCCCTCCCTGTTCTTGGGGACAGAACAAAGGTGCCAGAACGTTGCCGCTCCTGGGGACAGTGCAGGGACAGATTCTCTTGTCCCAGCCTGGAGTGTCTTGCTGGGCCTTCTGAAGGCAACTGTGCTGCAGCGCAAGATTTTTGCCTGAGAAGTGAAGTTGTGACTCTGCAAATGAGGGCCAATTTTCTAAGTGTGATGAAACAGAGTAAATTTACTGCTCTTATTAATGACTTAATGGATAACCCATCCTGGAGACTATAGGAAAGAGCAGCAGAAAAGCACTGCTCCTCTGGACGAAGAAATATGGCTGGTAGTCAAGTAGACTTGGTCTTGACAGCTGTGTCCCAAGCTGTTGGTTTTCATTTGCCCCATGTAGAAATCCTGGTTAGTCACAAAACTATATCTAAAATGCAGTATCTTGGGGAGAGTCCTAAAATAGACTTGGCTTAGAGAGTACTCTTAAGAAAAACACAGCACGTTATGCACACAGACATACAGAGCACACAGGATCTGGGGATAAGAAATCACACCAGCTTGGCTTTGCGCGAGGTTCTGATGTCACTTGAAAAGCAGATTGACCTGATTTCTGCTGCGTGTCTGAGCTGCTGCTTGGACAGACTCCCGGAGTGGTTTGTGTCTTTCTTCCTGGAAACTGGGAAGCCAGAGTGCCCTCGGTGTAGGAAATTTGGTGTGTAGTTTGGCAAAGGTCTCCTGGCTGCTTTCACCTGAGCAATAAGGACAGGTCACTAGACACTGACCTGCTCACCTCATGTCTCCTCTGAAATTCTTTGTCCTGCTCTCTCAACCCAGATAGTACGTCTGAGCCTCCAACAAAGTTACTCAAGGGTCACACAAGTCTGGGTGGGTATTTCATGAGTGGATACGGCACTGGCATGCTTATGGAAGTGGGAAGAGGGGTAGCAGGTAGAATCTTAAAACTTCACCCCCTAAGCTGGGGTGGGAGGGAGAGGCCATATTGGTTAATGCTATTGGCAGTAAAGGAAGAGATGAATAAATAAGAATTGTGTATATACAGCAGTGACATGCACATATCACGTGCATGACCACACAGCCAAATACATCACTGGGCTCTGGATCCACATCCTTGGATGAGAGGACTTGCTATTATTCAGAGACATGCCTTGAACAGGAGATTGAGCTAAGCAACCTCCAGAGGTTTCTATGTGCAACAAGCTGAAGTCTTCAACCTTACCCCATTGTGTATGGCTCGTGGTTTTCCCTTCCGCTTCTCAGCCATCAGCATCTCCTGTGGCAAAGAGGTCAGATTTTGACTATAAAAAACTCCTGGGGGGCAACCCAGACATGACTGCAGTCTCAAGCACTAACGCACATGTGACTGCTTGAGGCTGTTCTGCCTAACGCCACCAGACAAGCTGTTCTGAAACCCTGGGAAAGCTTCAGCCCTTGCAAACTTTGTCACCTTAAGATGACATTTCTTATAAAGAGTCATTGTCCTGATGACTGTCTCCATCATCTGGGGCTGAGTCGGTCAGTCCTGCATGGTGGACATCTCTCAGGGACAAAGGCTGCGTCATCCCTGCAAATCTCTGTTTCCTGGAACCGCACTGCTAGAGTTTCTGTGCTTATTTCTCTCTGGCTGACAGTTTTGCCCAGGTGGATTACTAATGCTTGCAAAGCCTCCTGAAAATTAAAAGACCTCTATCAGAGGACATGAAAAATCAGCAGGTCTCAGGGAAGACTTGGGATGGAGAGCTGGAAAGCCTGTGCATCAATGTACAAATGTCAAGGACTAGGGGAAGGGAGAGGGAGCATCCAAGAGAGTAGTTCAGAAAAAGAAACCCTTGCCTGAGGAGGAAGGCTGATGCGGGCAGTAAGGCGTTGTTGCACTAATTCACGGACTTGGCTTTCATCTTACATGGCTCTGAACATCAGGGGTGACTGTGGTTGGAGACTCGTTCGGACACTTGCAAGTTGGGGTGAATTGCGGCCAGAACGGGTTCATAACCACCAGCTGTGGAGGTCCTGCATTGTCCCTCTTCCTCTTAGTGCTGGCAGGGAGAGGTCAGGTTTATGGGTCTCGTGTGCTAGTGACAGCTTGGTCTGGGGTGTCACTCAGAGCATCTTTGGCACAGGTAACAGGTCACACCCTTCTCACTGCTTCAGCCGAAGGTCCTTCATCCCTGCAAGATTTTAGGTCTCGTTTCTCCATCTCTAAATGGAGAAACGACCAAGTTTCAGGGAGGGTGTTGAGAAGGCAGCACCTCTGTTCCACATCTCTCACCCCATCCCAAAGTGAGACCGACTTCAGCATATAATGAGTCATGCAACATTCAACAACGTCTCTCTTTTCCCTGATTCATGTTAATTGAGCAGTCTCCCTGCACAGGGCACTGAAATCCTGCTTTGCAGCAGGTGCAGTCACTAAGCAGCTTTATTCCTCCAGCAGGTCTGACAAAGCCAGGGTTACTTCAGCATTGATGAGGCAAGGAGGTTATTTTGTTTGTTTTTTTCTTTATTTTTCAAAATTAATTATTTTTACATTGTCTTTTTTTTTTCCACAGACAGCTGATTAGAACAGGTGAAGTGATACGATCCATGATTCTTTTCATAATACAGGTGTTCTTGCTTTGACTCTGTGATGTTTCTCGTTAGTATAATTGTTGACTCCTGTTACATTTATGTTATGGCAGCAAAGGGCAGTCAGGGAGATTTAGAGTGCAACCACAAAGGGAGAGAGGATGTAGCAATGTCCATACACCCCAAGACTTCAAGACCCCTGGGTTTCCTTTCCTCCTCTGCCCTTCTGACCAGGTGACCTTGGTAAGGTTATTTCACTTATCTTTGCTCCTCATCGTATAATGAGGCTAATGATGACTATCTCCTATGTGAAGCAATTTTGCAGTCTACTGAAGGAAAAATACAATGAGGGGAGTGAGCTATCATTATTACTTGTAGGTAAACCATGTGTATGATGTTTTGGGTTGGATTTGTCTCTGGATGTCTAAATGTAGTTGTCTGTATGTGATATAGATACCTAAGGCTGCACTGTATTTAGTGAAGAAGGATCAACACAGTTAACAGAGTCCAGAGAGCTGTTAGTTTTGAATGCGGTTGTCTGTTTTAGGGTGGGTTGTACAGTCCCCAGACTGTACTTGCTAATTCTCTGTTGACTCTGATGTGGGCTTAAGCATCTGGTTTACATTGAAATGTTAATATTGTAGACGTTTAAACCTAATTTGGAGACAAATCTTCACCCTGCTCCCCTCAGCTTTGCCTTTGCCAATTGCATTTTACTTGTGCGCTTGTGGTGAAGGATTTGGTGCCTTCCTGATAATTGCATTCTCATCTCATCTGAGTTTCTAGTTCCTGATTAGCTTATTGTTTGTGGCTGCTGGCTGGATGAATCTCTTTGGAGGTCTGCCTCCCCTCTGCCACGCAGTGGCTATGCAGACATCCTCTGAGGGACCTCGGCAGCAGGTTGTGAAGAAGATCCTCTCTGCAGAAGAAACCTGGGTGCAGAGAATGGGGTGCTGGTTGGTGTCTCCTTGGAGTTTCCTCACAATGAAATCAGTTCTTGCAATGTTCTTTTTTGGAACTGAGCACTGACCCACTTATGACCAGGATAGAGATGTTAAATTTTGCTCCTTAAGCCATTAATGGATAAGCCTATCTGGACTTCTGTAAAGCCTTTGACACAGTCCCTCACAACATCCTTCTCTCTAAATTGGAGAAATATGGATTTGATGGGTGGACTGCTCAGTGACTGAGGAATTGGTTGGAAGGTTGTAGCCAGAGGGCAGTGGTCAACAGCTCGATGTCCAAGTGGACGCCGGTGACAAGTAGTGTCCCTCCGGGGTCCGTCCTGGGACCGGTGCTGTTTAACATTTTCATCAATGACTTAGTGAGATCGAGTGCACCCTCAGCAAGTTTGCAGACCACACCAAGCTGAGTGGTGCAGCTGACACACCAGAAGGATGGGATGCCATCCAGAGGGACCTGGACAAGCTCTAGAAATGGGCCTGTGTGAACCTCATGAGGTTCAACAAGGCTAAGTGCAAGATCCTGCATCTGGGTCGGGGCAACCCCTGCTATCAACACAGGCTGAGGGATGAGGGGATTGAGAGGGATGATCCGAGGGCTGGAGCACCTCTCCTGTGAGGAAGGGCTGAGAGAGTTGGGGCTGTTCAGCCTGGATAAGAGAAGGCTGTGGGGACACCTTACAGCAGCCTGCCAGTACCTGAAGGGGGCCTATAGGAAAGATGGGGAAATATTTTCAGCAGGGCTTGTTGCCCAGAGAGGTAGTGGAGGCCCCATCCCTGGAAACAATCAAGGCCAGGTTGGATGGGGCTCTGAGCAACCTGATCTAGTTGAAGATGTCCCTGCTCACTGCAGGGGGGTTGGGCTAGATGACCTCTGAAGGTCCCTTCCAACAAAAAGCATTCTATGATTCTGTACACATCTGAATTTGGCTCGTGCCAGGGGAGTGGAGGTTTTCTAAACCGATTTCATGAATCAGTTTTTGTCCCGTATCAGCTAACTTGTGCTGCAGGGGTGGGTGCTTTTTGTAGTCTACTTTTTTTTCAACTATATGAAGAACTCCTGGTCTAAAAGGCCATCATTCAGGTCTGCAGAAGAGAGACTTTCGTAGTCGTCTTCAACTCCTGATATTTTTCTGCTCCTGTTCATTTCTTCAGTAGCCTCCTGGCCCATTTTGGTTGAATCAGCAGTGGAAGGATCAAAGACACCCTGATTAAAGGTTTCAGAAGCATGGCTGCTGAACAGGTACACTGGGGGAAAATCGTCTTCCTGAGGAGAGAGATGCTTGCTTGTCGAA